ACTAATCATTTAAAGATACTGACATCAAGTTAATCATAATACTTAGATAATATAAATATTCAGCTTTGCTACAGTGAATAAAATAATCTACAGCCTGGCCGGTGTGGCTCAGTGGTTGTGTCAACCTATGAACCAGGAAGTCACAATTACGGGGTATGCAGGATGCAGCCAATAGATGTTTCTCTCACCATTGATGTTTCTCTCTCTCTCTCCTTTCCCTTCCTCCCTGAAATCAATGAAAATATTATACTTATTAGAAAATATAAATTTAAGAATAATGAAATGCCATAACATAATTCAAAATGATTCCTTTTTTAAAAAATCTATAGCTTTTATTCTGGTTTAAGAAGGGAAAGAAAAAATAAGAATTATCTTTGTTAATTTAGTCACATATATGGAAATATCCCCTAAACTTTGAGTCATTTAACGAAGTAGAAAACCTAATTCACTGAAAAATACATGCCTGGCTCCAATTTCAGACAAGAAAGCTAAAGCTACCTATGGTGGGTCATACCTCAAGGAGAAATGTATGGCTGGGATAAAGAGTTCATGGAAAGCCTTGGGAAATTACTGAGAAGAATAACTGAGCAATATTCATCCTAACTATTTCCAAATGGAGGTCAGCCTTGGTTCTCAATATCATTTATTTCTTGGACTTGGCTTTTATTAGGGCAAGAGATTTCATTTTCATAGTATCTGTTTTCATTTTATTGTCTTTTACCTAATCTCTTCGGGTCTGTTAGGTTATACTGTTATTCCTTGACATTCTCTCTCCCTACCTAATTCCTCCTGCTCTGGTCAAATGAATCTATTTAACCATTCCCACACAAGGCTTACTCTTCCCCCCTTCTAAAAACCTGAAAAATACCTAGCACAGTAAGTACCATAACAACAATTTGAAGCTCTACCTGGGAAGACTTTCATAGTTGTAATTATTTTTGAAAGCTACTTTCAAAACACTGCTTGAAATCCACCTTCTTCAGTGAGTTATTCAAGGTCAAATTCATCTGCATCTATTCCCTTGAGATTACCTCAGAATATGCTCTATTTGTACTATATAATGTGCCCGTATCAGTCTGTTTCATTATAAGCGTATTCTTTTAAAAAATTTTTTAGAGAGAGGGAGACATGAATTTGTTGTTCCAGTTATTTATGCATTCATTGGCTGATTCTTGTATATGCCCTGACTGGGGATCAAACCCGTAAGCGTGGCATATCGAGATAATGTTTTAACCAACTGAGCCACTCAGCAGGGCAAAAAGTATTCTTCAATCTCATATTTTCCTCTACCTGGGAAAATAATTTCTGATGCCTTTGATTTGTTTCATAACACAGTACCTAAAAGAGCCTTCAACACATAGTAAGTTCTTAAAATATGGTTACCTGGTACTTTTCTAAAAATTAAAATATTATCCACAATCATCTATGATAATAAAAGCATAATATGCTAATTACACCAGATGACCTTCTGGAAGATGACCTTCCTTCCTTTGAAGGAAGCCCGGGTCCTGGGTGCCAGAGAGGAGCCAGTACAGGCAGCCGGGGAAAGGAAGGTCTACTCTTGCATGAATTTCGTGTATTGGGCTTCTAGTATTTTTATAATTTTAAATAGTTAAAGATGGTAAACTGAATACATGCAGTTAGTTCCCTCTAACTCCCCCACATCCCAAATAAAAGCAAAGATGTTGTGCGTGTGTGTTTGGTTGTTTTTTCAGGCATAAACCTGCAAGGATAGAAGAATGAAAATTTTAAGTAGCAACAAAACTTTGCGAGCTGAGAAGCCAAAGGGATGATTGATAACTGGCGCAGAAGAGTCAATAAAGCTAAATCCTAAACTAGAGGAGTACAGAACGTTAAGAATCAACAACCCATTTGTAAAAGAAGATCCCTTTAAGGCTCAGAAATTGGCAGGACCAAATACCTCTGGATCAGAGGGAAGGCAGAGCTAGAACCACTTTCTGGATAGAAAGTTCATTTAAAAAGCTTAGATGCCCTCCCACCCTCAACTTTCCTGAAGTCCTCCCCTATTTAGCATAGCCACATAACTGAACCTCTCTTATTCTGGCAAAGCATGTGAAGCTTGCTCTCCAGAGGGTAGAACATAGGACCCCTGAATTTGGGCTTATGTTATAGGCCAAACTGTGTCTCCTTCAATTTTCATATGCTAAAGTCATAACCCCAATTCCTCAGAATGTCACTGTATTTAGACACAGAAAAAGAAAATTACATAAGTTTACAGGCACCTAGCATTTTTTCCCCACGTGACTTCTGAATTGTTGGGTGCAAGGTAGGAGAATGTTCACTCTGGAGACTCTTGACAAAATAATGGCATTAAGCTTTCCCCAAAAAATGATCAGCCATACAGTGAAAATGTTATTGTCAACAAGTCACACCTATATGCACAGTTCCATATCAGCTTTTAGAGTTCCACCCTGAAATATGAGCAGATAGTCAAGGATAAACAGACATGCAAAGAAAGCATCTAATATTAAAAACAAAACAAAACAAAAAACCCCACAAGTTCTTTTTATAAGTGTGGCTCAACTGGTTGAGCATCATCCCATGCACGGAAGGGTTGCTGGTTTAATTCCTGGTCATGGCACACACCCAGGCTGTGGGTTCCATCCCCCTAACCTAGTGCATATGGGAGGCAACTGGTTTCTCTCTCTCTCCCCCACTTACTCTCTTTCTTCCCCTCTCTCTCTCTTCCCCTTACTCTCTTTCAAATCAATAAAATATTAAAAAACAAAGAAACTTTGAGGACACAGAGATTTCACAGAGAACAAAAAACCATTATGGTAATTTTTAAAAACGTAATAGAAGCTAATTAGAATAGCATACTAAAACAAAGAATCAAAAATCAAAGGGTCGTAGCAGTTAAAAATATGAGAATAGAAATAAATAATTCAATAAAAGAGCTGGAAGTCACAGCTGAAAAAATCTCCCACAAAGCAGAACAAAAGGACTAAACTGAAAATAAGAGAGAAAAGATAAGATGATTAAAGGACTGGTTAAGGAGGTTTTTAAAAAAGAATACTTCTAGAAAGACAAAACAGACCATGTAGAAGAAAAATCAGGGTCGTTAAGTTTCCATAACAAGGATTAGCACAAAAGGATGGATATCCTGCCCAAAGAATGAAGAGAGATGCATAGTAAGGCATATCAAGTTGTGAAACTTCTAAACATTTGCAACAAGGAGCCAATTCTACCAATTTCCCAAGAGAAAATATAGTGTGTTGACTCTGAAAATTCATTAAGTAGAACATAAATATGAACCCTTTTCTATAAATATGTTATACCAAGATAAATGCTTAAAAAATAAAGGAAGAAAGGAAGTGAATGAAGAAATGAGATGAAGAAAGAAAATGATTTATATCCTTTAGGAGTAAACTGAGAAACTGGTTTAGGTAAGCAGAAAAACAATAAACATGCCTTTTTTAATAGAAAAAAAATGAGCATACAAGACATAAACTTAAACTTGTTTTTGGCACCTTTTATAAAAATAAACCTGAAGAAGTGAGTGGTTGGGTAGCATTCTAAACACAAGTGGCTTCTCCATTAGGTATCATTACCTAATGACTTCATGTTATGTCTAAACATTAGACAATAGAATCTGAAATTTAATCTGTTAAAAAAAAAAGGTGTTCCATTTCAACTTTTTTTTTCCTTTTTATTGAATTTATTGGGGTGACAATGATTAACAAAATTCTAAGTATTTCAGGAGCATGTCATCTGTACACTGTATTGTGTGTTCACCACCCCAAGTCAAATCTCCGTCCATCACCATTTATCCCCCCATAACTTCCTACACCACTCACCCTCACTCCTCCAGCAATCACCTCACTGTTGTCCATATCCAAGAGTTTTGTTTGTTTTTTTTTTTTGCTCAATCCTTCCACACACCCCACCCCCATTTCAAATAGGAGTAGAAGCAAAAGCTCACCCAAAGTGGCCTTTCACACTCTGAAACAAATGTGCCAACACAACAATTTCTTAAACACAGGACTCAAAATAACAGCACAGCATACCTGTATCTTTCTTTGGAATAAGTGAATTATGATTCTCCAGGGGATGACCAAGACATTCCCAAGAAGTATTCTCTTTTTTCTTTAGGACAATCTCTATCTTTCCCACATTTGCAACAACCCGCACTGAAAAGAATATAAATTTTATTTTAAAACCAATCTTTCTCAAACAATCCAGATGTCCCAATCTGTATGAATTATACTGATAATTAGTAAAATAAATAAGATTTTGTGCACATATTCATCAAAATTTTTATACCTTATATATTAGATGCTCAACCACTGAGCACTACTGGCCAGACAAGTTTAATTTATTTTAAATGTAGATTAACTTCTTTCAAGCTAATTTATCAAGGACCAAACTAGTATGTATTGCTAATTTCCATACAAGCTCAAATATAGCCATGGCAACTACTTAACATATGTAAAAAAGGAGAGGGCTGATATATACAACTAGCCATTGAATGGACCCATAAAAGCAAATATAATTACACACTTAGTAAGGATCTGAGGGGTATTATGAGTGAATTCAGTAGACCAATAACGAAGCTAATAAACACAGGAACTGCCTCAGTAGAATGAGTCCCTATAAAGTGCATGTGAATCTTTGATAATTAAAAGTCTTATACATTATCTTTATTTTTGATGGTTAAAATAGTTTAGAATATATGGGTAAATAAACTATAGATTTTCATACATTGATTAAATTTTATAAATCAAATGTATTGAAGACCTAAAGTATATTTCATTGTGTCTTAAGAAACAATCTGTTTTTCCTCACCATAAGCACAAAATTTCATAGCAATTTAACAACTTATGATAGTCAAATGAATTCAATTTAATAAACACTGATCTGAAGCTTACCAAACATAAAAACATGGTTTGTGACTTTAAAGAGCTAAATATATGTAATTTATAGCTATGGTACATATAAAGGGGAGATAGACCTAGGGTAAGGTATTCTGACAGTACCTTAAAACAAGAATACACACATGCACACACACACATACACACACACTCACACAAAATGGATTGTTAGTCCGCCTTAAAAAAGAAGGCAATCTTACCATGCAACAACATGGGTAAAGCTGGAGGGTGTTATGTTAAGTGAAATAAGCCAGACAGAGAAGATGAATATGACATGGTATTGCTTATGGTGGAATCTTTAAAAAAAATAAAGGTGAACTCATAGAAACAGGGGCTGGTGGTTAGGGAAAATTGGGAAGGGTATAAACTTTCAGTTATAAGATGAATAATCTGAGAATCTAAAGTATAACATGGTCACTACAGTTGATAATACTGTATTGTATAACTAAAATTTACTAAGAGCGTAGAACGTGTGTTCTCACCAAAAAATAAAAAGTAAATATGTGAGATTATGGATGTTAATTAATTCAATTGTGTGAATCCTTTCACAATAAAACCTGTATCAAATCATCTTGTTGTACATATTAAATATGACTTTATTATATTTAAAATAAAGCTTAAAAAATCCCCAAGAAACCACTACTTTATAATGAGTCTTCTGTTGTTAAACAGCTGTGTAAAATCCACATTGTGTATTTATATGCAGCAATATTTACAATTTAATATACTTTATCAACATTAAACATTCAAAAAAGAAAAATTTATCTGGTCTAGAATATTTCTACAAGCTGAATGTCAGGAGTAGGGCAGAGATAAGGAAAGAAGGATGGAAGGAAGGAAGGAAGGAAAAAATAAAAGGGAGATAATTTTTTTTTCCTAAAGAGAAGAAAAGGGAAGAGCAAAGACATAGAAAGAACAAGGGGAAATAAAATAAGTGGGGGGAACCTGAAATCAGAGGGAGAATATATTTAAAAATTAATGCAGTTGTTTATATAAAAAATATCACATCTTTATTTTAAAACAGAAATATAAATATGAAAAATAAAACAAATGCTCATTTCTCCCTCCTTCATATATAGGTAAATATGTATGTGCATATGTGTATATGTATGCATTATATAATTGTTTTTTGGTAAAGCTTACCAGAAAAATCTTCTTGAATTGCATGACTTAGCTCTGGAAAAGAAAATTTATATATTCGTTAAAACCCAGCAATCCCACTTCTAGTAATATATTCCAGGAAATCAGAAACACAAATCGGAAAAGATATATGCACCCCTATGTTCATAGCAGCACAATTTACAATAGCTAAGATTTGGAAACAGCCTAGGTGCCCATCAGCAGACAAATGGATTAAAAAACTGGTATATCTACACAATGGAATACTACACTGCTATAAAAAAGAAGGAACTCTTACCATTTGCAACAGCATGGGTGGAACTGGAGAGCATCATGCTAAGTGAAATAAGCCAGTCGGAGAAAGATCAGTATCACATGATTTCACTCATATGTGGAATATATATAATATTGTAATAGCTATGTGCAGGCCAGGGGGGTACTTTGAAATATTAGGGTGACCACTTTGTAAAGTATATGACTGTCCATAAAATGATGAACAAAAATAGATGGAGAGACAGAGAAACATTGAACTGTCAAACCTCAAAGAAAAGGCAGGGGAGGGGGCGGGGTTAAGAGATCAACCAAAGGACTTGTATGCATGCATATAAGCATTACCAATGGACACAGACACTAGGGGGGTGAGAGCTGGTGCTGGGGGTGGGAGTGGCCAGGCAGAAGCCAATGGGGGGAAAATAATATTGTAATAGCTATGTACAATCCAGGCGGAGGATACTTAAAATATCAGCGGAACCACTCTTTAAAGTGTAAGATTGCCTAACCACTATGTTGTACACATGAAACTAATTCTATATAATAAAATGGTAATATGCAAATAGTCTGACCAACAGAACCACCGCACAACCAGTCACTATGATATGCAGGGACCACCAGGGTGCGCGGCCACAGGCGGCAGAATGCAGAACATTGGTGTGTTAGTCAAGGCGGGACGATGGAACAGTTTAGTGGGGCACCAGACCAAGTTGGGGTGTTGGTCACTGTCATCAGGGTGAGCCTCTGGTACTTACTGAAAATTCTTTGCTCCCACATGTTGTGGTCTTACCAAGTGCTCACACCTGCTATTGGCACTGGCCCCACTCACACCTACTGGCAGCACCGGGGACCTGCTGAATAGCTTGGCACTGTCAGCAGGTGTGTGTGGCAGCTGCTGTCCCTAATTGCCCCTGAGGGGTTCAAACCTCCTCCTGCTCCTGAGGGGTGATCCGGGCAGCAGCTGCCACTCACAGCCACTAATAGCGCCAGCCCTGATCGCACCCGCTGCTGGCATCAGCCCCAATCGATCCGTGCCATCAGGGGGTGCAAGTGCGGCTGGCGCTGTCAGCACATGGGAGTGATGGTGGCAGAAGCAGGGCTTCTGGCAGACAGGGGGCAGGGGGGCCATGGCAGCAGGGATTGGGCAGCGGCTCAGAGGATGGGTCAAGACCTGCTCCTGTGCCCACCTCAGCCTTGAGGCCCACAGTTTCTTTCAAGGTTCACGAATTCATGCACTGGGCCCCTACACCAGAATAATGTTGAGGAAAAAAAGACGGGGAATACCTCCTCTCTGGTTTCAGGTGTGTCACCCAACACCTGCAGCTGCCAAGTCACTGCATCTTGGCAGCTCCTGCATTTAGCATCTGCCCCCTGGTTGTCAGTGCCTGTCATAGCTACCAGTTGGACAGTTGGACAGTCAGCATTCACGTAGGTTTATATATATATGTGTGTGTGTGTGTGTGTGTGTGTGTGTATGTATATATATGTATGTATATATATATATTTATTTT